TCTCCATCTTGCTTCATCCTTGGTTGCTTCACTTCTTCATTCTAAATATACGGAAAAAATTTGTAAACCTCATAAGATTGGCCCCAAATCCATTCTCCTTCTGCATCGAATACGATATCATTACTGATAATTATCTTCCCAGTGTTTGAATTGTACAACTTATAACCTTTGAAGTTTGAGTTATAACTGATGAAAATGAACTTCTCACTTTTATTATCTAGCATACTTCGGTGCTCATCAGATGCATGCACATGGGTTATGTTTCGAAACACTCTTAGATGCAATACACGGGGCTTCCTTCGACTCCAAGCTCCTTGTGTTGTCATTCCCCACACACTTCTTGTTAGAGATCGGTTTGACAAGTAAACCACCCATGCAAAACTTCGGCCCAAAACTCCTTAGGAAGAATCCGAATCTTAAGCATGCTTCGAGTCATGTTGACAATAGTTCGATTCTTTCTTTCTACTATACCAATTTGTTGAGGGGATCTTGAAACAATCAATAGACTGCATATTCCATTGGTTTCACAAAACTCTTGAAATTCCTTTGAAGTTAGCTCGCCTCCTTGATCAGATCGCATGGCTTTAATCTCAAGGCCGCGTTCTACTCCCACCAAAGCTTTGAACTTCATGAATGCTCAAAACACATCGTATTTTTGTTTTAAACAATATAACAAATTTTTCCTTGAAAAATCATCTATGAAAAAAAGAAATCAATTACCCTTACCAACATAGCTTGGCTTGATTAGACCACACACATTTGTATGTATGAGCTTAAGTGGCTTTTGTGCTCTCGAATTTGACTCCTTTAGAAAACTCTTCCTAAATCACTTCCTGAGCAATCAGCCTTCACACATCCGGTCTGAGTGATTAATGCAAGATAAACTACTCATCACTTTTTTTTTTTAATAGCAACCCAATCCTCCAAAATTAAGATATCCAAATCGAAAATGTCAGAGCCATGATGGATGTTTGTAACAGATTTTGAGACATTTGGCAATATCATTTTGAATATTGAGCAAGAACATTCTGTTTCTTGACATTGATATCTTTATAATTTTATTGCTCATATTATCTGAAAGGTTCTTGTCTTTCAAATGAATATCATAATCTTTCACTAAGAGCTAACCCAAGCTTATGATATTACTCTTTATATTTAGCACAAAATAAATGTTGGAAATAAATTGGTGTTTCCTATTTTTCAATCAAATAAGGATATTACATTTGCTTTTCATTGCTACGTTAGACTCGTCAACAAAGGATACTTGTCACTCACGACTTATCAAGCTCCACGAAAATGTTTTCTCTTCCAAACATATGGTTATTTGCACCAATGTCCAAATACCATGTATTTTCTTCATCCTTTTCGTTCGTCTTATATATCAGTAGCAAATTGTCATCTTGTTTACTTCTCTCTTCTATATAATAACATTCTTTTCAACTTTATTATTATTGGGAGTTCTACATTCCACAACAAAGATTAAACTTTTGGCAATTGTAAATGAGATTTGTCATGCATTGGTCTTTATTTTCCTCTTCCATGCCCTCTTATTGACCTTCCTTCTCGTCAAAAATTGATATTGATGTTGTTGTAATAGTTGGAACTCCAAGCCCATCCACATCCATGACCACGACCTTCTCCTCGACCAAGACCTCTTCCTTGTTGACTCTTATCATACTCTAGGCTCTCATCTTTTGTTGGTTTAAGTTGTGTCTTCAAGAACTTTTTTGTTATCCCTTACTTCTTTTTCTTTTTATAGGCTTGTAAGGAACCAGGGAGCTGTTCAATTGTCATAGTCTCCAAGTCTTTGGTTTCTATAGAGATAGCCAACAACAATATGATCCCCTTTCAAGTCCTAATGCTCAACAATATCAACTATGACAATTGAAGCGTCAAGGTCAAGGTCATTGTTGGAGCTCAATAGGAGATGGTAGACAAGGTCTACAACGAGTCATAAGATGATTCAAGTCTATCCTAACTCAAAAGGATAGTTTAAGAGATTCAAGGAAGAGAAACAAAAAGGCTCTATATCTAATCTATCAAGGATTACATGAAAACGCATTTGAAAAAATTTCTAAAGTGAAGTCTGCTAAAGATGCATGGGAGAAGCTTTAGACCTTTTATAAAGGAGCGGTGCAAGTCAAGAAGGTGCGCTTACAAACATTAAGAGGTGAGTTTGAAACCTCACTCCTAGTTTGATACCTCAGCTTATCACTCAGGAAGGCAAATTGGGTTCCTATTTAGCAAGAGGAAATTTTCAATTGCATTATTTATATGAATGTAGATTCTGAAGTTTTCTAATCCTAGTTTGATACCAACTCTTACGACAAACTTCTCTCAAGTCACCCGTAAGGCCTTAGCATTTTTACTAGGCGCTAAGTAGTCTAACCCTTACAATTCTTGGACTTAAAAATATAAAAATCTCTAGGAAAAAAAAGTAACGAGTGGTTATTGAAAGAAGGAAACACTTCACTTAGGAATGAATGTTTGCACACTTGATTACTTAAAAATCTTGTGTTCAACTACCCTTTGTCCCCAAAATTCTCCATTTCCTTCCAAGCCTTCATTCCCAAAGTCGAAGCTACATGAGCCATCGTCTCCAGCTCAGTAAGATTGCCACCCCAATGTTGTCGCCTCCTCATTAGGGTGTTGGTGATCCTGCCAGTGGTTTAAAAAATACAATTACTTGTCACGTGTCCTGGGCTTCGGTGGTGGTCTTCACCATCGAGGTTGTGATGGAGTGAATCTGAGTAGGCGGAGCGAAAAAATGGTGGTTCACATCTGCCACATCATCCCCGCCAACGGGACGATCGCTGCTGACAAAACTCTGATTGTCTCAAACCAACAATCTTCAAAATGAGGTAGAATTTGAAAGCGATCATTACAAGATAAAGCGCTGCCACAACGAAAAGGATGTGAGATAGTCTTCATCTCCTCCCGTTGAAAGCTTCCAAGCTCTTCGATCTCTTCATTATTCCTCAAACAACCATAATCCCATAAAATGGGGTCTTTCCCACCTCAAATAAACCTAGAAATCAGAGTAGAAAAAATAAAAGCTGACCCTACCGAGATCAAGGAGATCTTCAGGGGGTCTTGGATCTTTAGAAAGAAGATGATCACAATGAGATAGAAGGAAGTGAAATAGGTGGATTTGAGAGGATGCCGCCCTATTTGTCTTGAATATAAAGGCATCATTCATGTGTGAGAGATAATACTAATGTTTCACATATCCTACATGAAAAGCCCTGTTTGTTTATATTGCATAGCAGGGGCTCGGTTGGCCACAACTAGCCATAATTGAGTAATTGACCATAGGCTGACTTAGTTACATTTATAAAGAAAGATTGACTTTAACCTAAATAAAAAATCAATTGTAACCATAATCCGAAATTGAAAAAATCAAACCAATCCAATTTTTGATAAAATTGAACCAGCATAAACGTTTTCGTTATGAATAAACTAAAATTTAATTGTTGGAATTCTACTATAAACAAGTATCAAGAATTACATATCTTACGCATATAACGTCAACTTAATTTTATGAATCCTCCATTTAATTTGAAGTTTTTTATTTTCAATTTATCTGCTTAAATAAAAATTAAAACCGACCTAATTACCAAATACCGAATATTGAGGTTTGAAAAAAAAAAGGGAATGCATTTTTTAGACCGATTTTAATAAAATAAATTAGTTCAATTAAACTTAGATTTTTGGTTCAATTAAACTTAGATTTCTGGTTGACCAAATAATACACACTCGTGCTAAAGAGACTATGATATCAGGTATTTTTTTACGAGTTTTTACATATGGAGCAATGGATACACTTGTATCACACACGAAACCTACGAATCTCACATCCTCTGCTAACATCCTAGCTAGGGGGTGAAAGATGGAAGCTTTTGAGGTTTCTTTAAACTGCAATCTCATCGTTGTTGTAGGAGCAAGGTGGACGAAGGAGAAAGATGGGAGTTGCAGAGGTCTTTGTACATCGCAATCTCGTCATTACATAAGTAGAAAGAAGAGTTTTTGAGGTCTTTATAAGCTTAGTAATGGAAGCTTTGGGCATCTTTGGTCGGCACCATCTTGTTGCTAAGCTCCGGCAATTAGGTCCCCTCTGACGGAGACTTTACAAATGATGTGAGATTCATAAAATAAAATTTTCAAGTGTGACATAAGTAAATAAAGATTATTAATGTTTAAATTAGAACTATGAGTGTCATTAGTTGTCAAAATTGTCCATCTCTAGCATTCCGCTCCACTTATGTAGTTTTCTTTCTACTGTCTTATGTAGTTTTCTTTCTACTGTGCCATCTTAATATCAAAACTTATTTACTTGAATTTATTTTTAAAATATTCAATACTACTCAAATGGGATTTTACATAGATTAGTGCTAGATTTTAATTCTAATGTTTCAAATTTTCGATCATGCTGTCACTTATTCGATACGATTATCGTTAAGTTAAATCCTGTATAGTTACATATCAAACATCGAATCATTAATATCACATCAAAAATATCTCTATCACTAACTTTTTAAAAGTGAGTGAAACATTGTTATGTAAAGATTTTAACACTAAAATGTTATAAATGCAAATATCAAACTTTAGATGTTAGATATGCAAATGCATAAGAACTGAGTACTATGTATGTAAACTTTAGATGTTAGATATGCAAATGCATAAGAACTGCCATCTTATTCCAACAACACAAACTGTCACATGCTAACATCAACTCAAGATGATGCCATAGATGAGCCAAAACAGGTCAAAATATGGAGATGAAGAGGCACTTGAGCCAAAACATCCAAATCAAATAAATCGATTCTGCTTCATGCAGATTAATTTGATTTGAATTTACAATGCTGCATAAGCCAACTAATTTAATTTTGGTAAATCAATGAGTTCGAATTTTAACTAGGTCTTTAGTACTTAAATAAAATCGAGGTCTTCCATAGACAAAAGCATAACTAAAATGAAAGGTATTCCATAGACAACGGACAGAAATTAAAAGCCAACAGAAGGTCAATAAAGGCCTAGAGTTTCAACACAGAAAAAACTTGTAAAACCAAGTTTGCAAGAAAGAAATTTGCATAACTACCAGAAAATCATGCATTTATAAAACGTATTCTCCTTCATCTTCCTCCTCGTCTTGAAAGCCCATTGATCCTCAGCGGTACTGAAATGTAACAAAGAATGATTCATCAAAACAAAGTATTGTAGTATTGATTCCAAGACAAATCGATATTAATGCTTGTCATGTAGTTACAGAATTATAAAACAAATATCTGCATAGTGGTAGTATTTACAATGTGATGTTACAGATTTGAGTTTTATGCATGTATATATCAATATTTAGGTGTCAAAAATATGTAAATACATAACAATTATGTGGAATGTATGGAAATACTCCAATATAATATTGTTTTTGTTTCAATGTCAGATGTAATGTTATTAGAAATAATATGGGTAATGATGATTTTTTTAACATTTTTTTGGTCTGAAGATAGCTTGACAGGTTGATATCATTGATTTGAACATGTAGATGTCGAATTGCATCAAAATAAAATTGAAATGTCTTTGAATATCATGTCATTCGAGGTGAGCCAGCAAAAATATAACCTTCAAACTCAAGACCACGTCAGTGATCTGATGGTTCTCATTAACTTTCATTAAGATTTACTCTTATATTACCAAGATAAATGATCAAGTATCAAACAATATGATTAATTTTTACGCATTTGAAAGTATTATGCCTTTAAAATCACAACTGTTATAAAGTAACCATTATCAATGTTGCATAAAATAGCAAGTGTTATAAAGTAACCATTATCAATGTTGCAAAAAATTGATAATCAAATAAACTTTAAAAATCTTAAAACACATTATGTCGCTAATTTTAATTATGTTAAAGAGAATCGACAATTTCAGTCTACCATTTAAATGAGATAGTATCAAATTTCAATAGAAAAAGATTGATGATTTTCCTACTTAGAGAAGAAATGTTCAATTAACACATGCTAAAAGAGCATGAATGAGTCAAGCAAAATACAAATTGTCCCCCTACTTGAGCTTGAGCTAGACTAATTAATTAACTATTATTCTTTCAAGTAAAAAAGTACCTTTTCACACAATTAGTTCTCTATGTTGCTACCTTCAAAGAACAATTGTTGATCGAATTTGAAAAAAACTAGATGGTTTGTAAAGCTCCAAGCTAGAAGTACAACTTCAGTACAGTTTTATTTTTTAAATCAAATTCATAAAATTACGTGTGCAAAAAAATTTATTTGATTTTGGGTACAACACCATGAAATTAATAAATCTTGTATTTAACTAACTAAAGCAACCATTTACATAATACTTCGTATACTATATAACATATCAAATCCTATTTAAATTTCATAAAATTTGCTTCATATTTATATGTGTTGAAGTTTAAAGTGAACAAGTTCAGTTGTTATGATTGGAAAGTATAACAATAAATTTGGGTAATTTTTTCTTTTTTTCACATAAAAGGGTAGTTGTCTATCCTACATGCATAATAAGTGTATAAATGCTATATATGGGACGCTTGGACACCAAAAATTGCAGGCATTCATAACATCAGCATAACGCACACTAACAACAATATATATTATATAATAGAATATTTATTCATTTTCATGATGATATTCATATATGATAGTCATATTACACCATAGCAGATCAAAACCTTTAGTTATGCTACCAAAATTTATGCTAAACTCTGGCCTAACAAACACAAAAAAAGGAAAACAAATTCATAAAATAGGCAAAGGAAGAATTACCATTCTATAACAGCATGCTGTTCAGTTTGTGAGATTTTACAAATAAGCAAGAAGAGTTAAAAATAACCTTGATGAATCCAATCTCCTTGGCGTTGTTACGGAAGCACTGCCTGCAACACATGAGGCCGTATTTACGGATCAAGCCATGCACATTACCGCAGACACGGCTGCAAACAAGAAATTTAAGCGGTTACCTCTTGAAATTAAAATTATTAGAATTCGATCAGATCTTATGAGAACAACAATAAGAAACCTCTATACATAGATGGCCATCGATCGAAATCTAGGGAAAAAAAAAACTTTCAGAGAAAATCTGCAACAAAGAGATGGAAGGAAGATACCAAGCCCGGGATCCCAGCCCGTAGTTCTTCGGATGTGAGTTCCAAACGTTAGAATGGCCCATGTTGCGCAGTTGAATCTTAGATCAGAGACGCCCTAGCTTGAGATGAAGAAGAGCCGCAGGACCCCGAATCGAATTCTCTTAACCCTAGATTTTGGGGCCATGAATCGCCCTCTTTTATAGCATGGGGCCAATATTTTAGTTTAAGCTCCCTACAAAAATGGTATTTACAAAAACGAATAATCAAATAAATTTTGCAAAAAAAAGTATATTTTCAATAAAGAAGCCGAAGCAAATCCTTATATTTACCTCTATAATTAGGGCTCTCAAAAAAACTCGTTATTCGTGAATAGCTCGTGTTTGGCTCGTTCGTTAAGTAAACGAGTCGAACACGAACAAGTATTTAAAGCTCGAATTTGAAACGAGTCGAACACGAGCAGCTCTTTGTTCGCTTGTGTTTGGCTCGTTTTAGCTCGAAATTATAATTATATATATATATATATTTATATTTATATAATAATATATTATATATATTTATATCTAAGCTTAAATCATAATTGTATATATTTGGTTCAGGTTCGAATCTCACAATTTACATCTATCTTTTTCAATTTAATTTTTTCGAGTCAATTTCGAGCCGAACACGAACGTGAATATTTAAATCGAGTCGAACACTAACACACTGTTCACGAGATGATTTCGAACACGAGCCGATTTTGAACTACCTATTTCGAACGAGTCTAACACGAGCCAAGCCTGAGCTCGCTCGAGCTCGGCTCGCTTACAACCCTATTTATAATTTTTGAAAGCGGTAATTAAATTATTTTAATTGGTAGTATTTTTATTAAAGTAGTTCCTATGCAAAAAATGGTTCATAATGCAAAATTAATTAATCAATTCATGGCAAAAATACACAGTATTTTTTGCTGAAATGAATATGTTCTATTAGAGTGAAGATAAACTATTTCAGCATATAATATCATGCTATATGTACTAGTGACATATCAAAATACAAGGAAATTATTTTGGTGCTCTATATTTATTGAAACTCTATAAAAATTCAAGAAGTAATTGGATGGTGCTGCTTTTAAGTTGAAACAATGTAGTTATGCAGTAATTAGCTCATTTATTGTTAAGATTTACAGGTGTTGAGTGTTACAAAAAGCTGGCTTGAATCTATAGAGGATTTATTGAACTTGTTGAGATGTATTGAGAGTAGTGATTCAAAATAGTGATTAGTTTGTGAGGATAAACATGTTTTAATTAGTATTAAAATATAAATAAAATAAAATTAAATTAATACATGCCACATATTTTTATGTATTTACATAGGGTTATATATAACTTGTTTAGTTGTGGGAGAAGAAAGAAGAAGTGAGTGCTGGCATGGTGGTTTAACAACTTAATTTGGGATTGATTTTATTAGAATTGGACTGATGTTGGTACTGTTGGGTCCGTCTCGTGTTGGACAGTTAACTGTAAGTTTTCTAAAATCGGAGTTTTGAATGACATTTAATTGAAGTTTGAATATTTCTTATTAAAAAATTTATCTCGAGATACTTGCTAATTCTCGAAATTCATGTTTGATATTGAGAATTTGTTGATGGCATATTAATGATAAATGGATGTGAATAAATATCCTATATATTTGTTTTGAATTGAGAAATCAAAAGTCCCTTACATATGCATTGGGAATCATGCTTAGATGGAAAGTGGCTGAGGGATTTTTTAATTTTCTTGATGAGAGGTGGAGGAATATGAAGACTATCGTCATAATGCCGACTCAATATTTAATGATGAAATATATTTTTGTTCACTTTTGGCTCTTAGATTCTAAATACACCAAATATCAAACAAATGATAATTGTGTTTTAATGTGTGATGTGAGTTGAAAGTATTTTTTCATCTATTCGAAATAGAGTCTTAGTGTTGGATGGTCATGTGAGAGGGAGAGACTGACTCCCGAGTACAATGTTGAGAGAAAGCATGAGAATAGAGTCGAGTTTAATTAGAAATTAATGAATGTTGAGAAGATAATATTGTAAGATAGCTTGAGACAAAATTATAATTAAGTATGATGATATAATATCATACTTTTCAGGACAAGTCATGTTAATACATTAATTGGATAAAGTAATACAAGGAAAATACTTTGACGCAATTATTTTATGGATATTTAATGAGGAAAAATATGTGATGCTATCAAATCTTGGGAAGCTATAGCTTATTGCAATATGACATAAATTAAATAAGGTACATTGTGCATGGAAGTGGTAAATTCCTAATCAAACCATAGTAAGATTTGTATAAACCATGTTATAATACTTTGATATTGGTGGAAATGTTAACAACTATTGCACTTCTTAACTCAAAATAATTGATTTTGATTGAGAGGTCATATGAAAGATCTGAGTGAAAGCTTCAAAGAGGAATCCTTAAATTGACCTCGAGAGGCTTCCTAAGAGGACCATCTTGAAAGAGCTTCCTATAATTGAGAAATTTGAATGCTTTCAAATAATGATTGCACTTACGATTAATCCACTAGTAAGGTGAAGATGTCCTTGATGGATAAACAAGATTAAATAAACTCCATTTATTTATTTGTTCCCCTCTATCTATGTCGATAAGGTAGCTCAAGGCAAAATTATAATCAACCTTGATGATATATAATTGTACTTATGAGAATGACTCAAGTTGGTACACTAATTTGATAAAATAAATATGATGATATATTTTTATGTTACTTTTTTAATAACTAGTTAACAAGAGAAAATAATGTGATATTATAAAATTTTATGAAGTTATTGTCCATTACAATTTATCATAAATGAGATGTATTACACATAAAAATGGTGAATTCTTGGTCACACCATAGTAAAATTTATATAAACTATTCTATAATATTGTGATGTTGGTGGAACTGTCAATTAATATTGCACATTTTCTTTCAAAAGAACAAATTTTGGTTGAGAGCTTTCATGCAAGATCCGAGTGAAAACTCCAAAGATATTCCTCTAAATTGCCCTTGAAAAACTTCTTAAGAGGATCATCTTGAAAGAGCTATCACAGATAAATAAAATTGAATGCTTGCAAATAATGATTGTGCTATATGATTGATCCAAGAGTTAAGTGGAAATGTCCCTTATGGAAAACAAAAAAATTGTATGTAATTCCAAATGTTTGTAGCTCACCTCCATGTATGATTATATCATCCATTTCATTCATTGGATATTTATATTTTAGATGGGTTGAAGCATTTGTTATTAGTGGCCTCACAAATAATACAAAGTATTGATGTTATTAATTTGGAATTTAAAAAAATTGGGATTTTACCTTCTATTTTAGAGTCACAAATATTGTAATTTTAATTTCGTTGGTGGCTCTATCTTTTGATTGCTAGTTTTGTAAGAATTTCATTATTCTCATCCAAAACATTGCTTAAAAGCAATACTCCTAAATATTTGGATTTTAAATGACATGAATCAAATCCCACGAGTTGTCTGCTGCCAGCTAGGAACCATTTAATGAACACCCTAAATTTTATGTATATTATCTCAAATATTTAATCACTGACATTATAATAAAAAATAATGTGAGAACCCGAGACTTTTTTGACAAGCTCTACACGTAATGGAGGTACCCACTTAAAACAATCATCAACTGCCCAAATATTTGATTCTACGCGAACTACATTAATCTTCATACCTTCATATATGATAGTGATAACTCATATTTATTTTAGTGACATGTTTGGATAAGTTTTTGCTATATCTTGTCTTATTGGCCACCCAGATGAAAGTTGCTTGTTTGTTCCAACAGTCTTCACACCTAGGCACAAATGTGAACCTTCAATTTTCTTTATTTCAAATGTTTGCCACCACACAAACTGAAGCTCTCACTCATCACGGACAACCATTTTAAGAACATATTGCAATAACTCTTTTTCTACCACTTGTCTTAAATGTCATAACAAAATTTTCAAAAATTATAAGTGTCCGAATAAATTGTCCCAAACTAGTTGAACCTTTAAATTGAGAGTCAAACACCAAAGATATATCAATAGACATTTTACTCATTACCATTGATATATTCATCATGCTCATATATGCATCTGCTAGTACCATCAAAGCTTGAATTACATTACTCAATTATTTCATCACCATGTGGCATGATGAATTTCAATCATGAAAATGCGTAGTTTTTTTTAACCATCATAAGTGAGAAATAACATGATTTCCATATATAATACTAAAAGGAAAATTTACATACATGCCACTCAATTCCTGCGTGATTGCATATATATAACACCTAAACCTCACTTTTTACATACATCTCACTTATCTATGCATAAGAATTGAGCTTGAAGAATGACAAACATTTTTATATCAGTGACAGAAGTTGAGCTTGAAGAATGACAAATCTTAACTCATCACTTTTTACCTAAACTTCACTTTTTGTATGACTTATCAATGCATAACATAATATACAGAATAGAAGCATCAACATAATAAAAGAAAATATAAAAATAACATTTGTTCACACCTTAAGCTTACATATATGACAGATCTTTATGAAATACTTGTAAGGATACGATTAACCAGAGATCACTGCAGTCACCATAGTTCACTATTGTCTGGTCACCATAGAGATGTCCAACGCTACATGTGCGAGTTAAATATAAGAGTCTTACCATGATACAGTAACAATGACAAAGTTGCGAGAGATAAAGGTGGGCCCTTCTTGCGTAAAGTGGTTGTTTCAAAATAGTTTTAGGTGGTTAATGAGTGAATTTGAAATTATAGATTGTGTTGATATCTATGTAAAAACCCTTTAATTTAATTAAATTTGTGTGGCCTCCTTTTATATATATATATATATATAACC